CCCAGAAAACGCTTCTAACTGGCTCAGCAGCGTTACTGACAACTCTGGCTGAATTATTGTCATAGAAGCTCAAAGTGATCAGACTAAACCTTTACTTTTCCACTTGGAGCTGGTGTTACCGCGAATCGCATACGTGCGTCTTTATGGTATGGTTGCCAATGTTCCGGCTATTGCTGTGGATAACCCACGGAAAGGGGCTTTTTGCTAACTTCAAGGTTGCCAGACTTGTCCGTATATGCACTTTTATCGTTGTGGAAATTTAAGTAAAATGCATTGAGACATTCACGAGTTGAGTTCTTGGTCAGTCCACTGTAAATACTCGTTGTGTGAATGGTTTTCCAGTTTTTCTGGAATTGTGTACTTCTGCGTGCATGCATCTACTTACGTTCATTTTCTAGAGGTAATTTTTCAATTCGGATCGTGACGTTATCAGTTGTGGCTTTTCAATGGTACCGTTGGAAGTAAAAAGCAAGGTATTTATGCTATGTTCTTATAATAGCCTAGTTTAACGCTGAATTTAGAAGGCTTAGTATCGATCCATCGTCAATAAAGTCATTTGAGGACCTCTACAACATACTGGAACGTGTCCATGGCCTTTACAATGTCAAATTTGTCATTCAGTATGTTGATCCCAAAGAAAATACACTCTTGCCCATCAACAACGACAAAAACTGCGAGCGTGCGTTGTCCGTTGCCACGAATCCACTGCGGATATTAATCCAGTTGAAAGGTTGTTCATTTTCATTGATATATTTACGAATCTAGGCGAGAGTTATGGTGAGCTACGGGGTTACAAGGCTCCTAACGCCGTATTCATGCGTAAAAAACCTGCTGAACTCGTGCGATCGATTGGTTCAGAGAAGCCCAAACCAGGCCATCAATCAATCACACTTCTTGATGACTTCCACAAAGTTTCTTCTATAATAGATGATGGCACCGTACCAGAGTGCATGCGAAGGTAAATTTTCCTATTAGTGTCTACCGTTTTACTTCTCAAATGCGTTTTTTATTTCAAAACACATCTGCTATCTAGATTGGTTGCTTGCAGTCTCTTTGTTTCTTTGTCACTATTATTAAGAATACCTTTTCATATATATATTTCGACCATTGGAATTCATTTATTTACACACGTGTATATGCTGCTCGCAAGGTTTTCACAATCCTATAGACTCGAAGTGACATCTCCGTCGCCACGAAGATCTGCTTGCACCGTGCGTCCGTCCGGTCAGTCCTTCTCTACTTTTGTAAATGCTGGGCTTTGCGCCTGGAAGATTAGCAGAAGATGACTAAGACGGTTTGAGCA